GATAGTCTATTTCCGTACTATTCAATCAGAGAGGTTTTCATAATTTATTAATAAACATTCTTTACATGCTTCCCAACAGGTATCCCTTAAATAAATATTTGTATATCCATGAAGATTGCAATAAAGTTATTTCAACAAATAGAAAGCAAACAGGTTTAGGATTAAGCTAGTGTACAGAAGCATTGTATGGAGACCAATTAAGGATAAATATATAACACCTGATACAAGCACTCCGAGTTCTTTGGCACTTTTATCATGTTACAGACATAATGGGGAAAAAGGAGGAAGACACAAAAGTCAAGTTCGCCCCAGAGATTTATTTTCATAATGTATCACACTATAGTTTTTCTTTGAACTTGTCCTTTCGCACGTTTCCCCAGGAGAAAAATTTGGGCCAATTGTGGGAGTATTTTCTTCTGAAGAGATTGATAATTCAAGTATAAAAGAAAGGAAAGAAAAAGACCATATCTGTAGCATATAGATACTTTACCTATTAGTATTGGTGCTTGATGAATTAAGAATGACAGTGGAATCATAGGCTATAAAATACTTTTTTTCAACTTTTTGGAAATTATGCCTGATCTCTTAAACAGAAATTTTAAAGGACCAAGAATAGAAGAAAAAAAATATGAGAAATGCCTAGGTTTCGTTTGGCAAAAGCTTAGTCTTTCGCCGAAAGAAATAATTTGTATAGACCATCGCGGGATGCTATCTAAATAAGTTAGTGAATGGCGAGTGTCGAATTGACAAGCTATTTTTCGTGGTGTCTGATAGTTCGGGGTAGGAGGTATGGCGATAAAATCTTTATAAATTTGGTAACTTGGTATTACTTCTGGCCTTAAAGTGTAAAAAGAGTTACTATCCAGGTGGAAATTGACCGATAACATTGTACAGTATGATGGCCTATACTTTTAATCATCCTTGTAATCAAGTGATCGGTTGGTATTAGATTGAAATAATGTGATAAATTTAAAGTAAAATATAAGAAGAGACTCTTTAAAGAGCAACTTTAAAAATTGATTTGGAGAAAGTTTTATTAAATGGATTTCTATTGTTACAATTGTAATCCTTCCGTCAGATAAGTTCAAGGATTTCACGCCAATACGAATATATCTGTAGAATACAATCTTATGTCCGGTTTGTTCTATTAGAATTTAATTAATATAATGTTTACATGGACACCGGACTTCCAACTCTTCCCGAACTCTTACCCAAAATTGGTTTCTTTCATTTGATCTTCCTTACAGTTTAAGTACCTGCCTACATTGTATCTTTAAGGTAGTGGCAATACTCAAAATACATAAAACTATATATCGACCTTCGACTTTATTACAAAAGACATCCCATTAAATGTTTTAAGGATTCTGTGGCTTTAAGAGCTTATAAACCGGTTGTATAATATTTTACGACCTTTGAAACTACAATTAAACTTTTGACGTCAATATCGAGCATGGACGTTAAATAGGATCTGCGACACCTTAGTGAGAAAAAAAAACCTTGAACCAACTTTAACCTCCGTTGAATATATCAGGTGCATGTTGATTAGACATAAATTAGCAATATAAAAAGATCAATGTAAGGTATCCCTTTTTTGTTCACAAGGAAATTTTTGTTTTATTTCCAATACCACTTAAAACGTGGACAAGGTCAATTAATTCTTCACTTATTATGGACAAACGAGACATTCATCAATTTTACTGTCCATGGGTCACTTACACCTGTTAAAGTGGTATCTTTTAGGAAAATGTTTGGTATATCAGATAACAATAAAATGTAAATTAGATTACAAAAAATTTGACTGCTGAACAGTTATAAAATGTGATCAGCTACGATGGATTTATAGGGTGCTGAACGATTTCTTTTTTGTTGTACATCCATAAATAAATATATGTAGTAGGCTAATTTTCGTTTGAGTAGGAGAATTTAAATGTTTTCTTCAAGTTGCAACTAATTATACTATTTTTACCTTTGAAAGTTAAATTATCCTTATCGAAATTAAATCTGCACTAAAATAGCTGAAGTAGAATATTCTATCATGATCGCTCAAACTTCTTGCACATTTAAGTCTTAATTGTTCAGTAAAGGAGATTTTCTCCTTTTCTTTGAATATGTTTTACTTTCAAAAAATATTTTTTTCTGTAAACTATGAAACTATTAAAATTTTTGTGTATAGTTTTTCTACACATTGAAAAGAATAATGAAATCGTATTATTTTCATTTTCAAAGATAGTAAAAATAAAGATTACAAATTAGGAAAATATAACATATAGGCTATAGCCACTATTTTAAAAAGAATGAGAGTTCCAAACAAAGTTAACATGTATTTGGCATTTTTCTATGATAGAAAATTCCACAATATTGAATCGGTGGTGAAAACCTGCATTGCAAGTCCCGTCACGTATTCAAATGATACATATTTTATCACTAAGAAAAAAAAAAAACTAAAATAAGAGCCATAGAGATTTCACAGAAAACGGTTTGAAAAATACGATCATTGATACCTAGAATATTTATTTTTTTTTTATCTCGACAAGGCAATTAGACCTCCTGCCGATTAAAAAAAAACAAGTAAAAAATATCAGCAAAAACATGTTTTTCATGTTGTTAAACTATATCTGTTTATATCTCCTACTTGGAAATTTAATTGAAAAAAAAATATTTCAGGTAGAATTCTGCACACAAGCAGGTAAAAACAAGAACTTTTAAGTGCACGTTATAACGAAATACAGGATATTCCTGTTTACTGTTTAACTCAACATTAATTTATTTTCATGAATCAGCAGAAATAGCCAGCGTTGGCGACTTCTAAGAAAATGCAATCATCATTTGGACAATTTATACCTACTAATACATTGATAAATATATAGGTAAAAGACTTCACTTAAAAAAAAGGTATTTGATGTGTTCATGATCAGTCTTTTTCCACTTCAAATTTTATCGCAATATATCTCTCTGTCATAGGACATTTGTCATCTTAAAATGGAGTAAAAATGTTTTATCTGGTTTGTAATTGTAATACCATGCAGGTTAAAAAAAGAGTGGATAAGATTCAGGTCTAAAAAGATAATATTACTGGGAGGAGCGGGGGGGGGGGGGGGGTCATCGTTATACTAAAAACCAAGGAAGTCATATTTATAAACGTATATCATAATAATTAAAGAACAATTTTTAAAAACCAACTAGAAATTGAATGCTATAACGTGAGTACATTATATTGCTAGATTCCATTTAGCTACCACTAAGAGGATCTTCATTGAAAAAAAAATAATAAACCGACAAACCAAAAAATTCTATGTTAGCCATCTTACATGACCATGTCGAATGTAACAATTACTAGTAGTTCGCAAACAGTTTTCACTGAAATGCTTCATAAACTCATTCCCTAAAGTTTATTATTTTTTCCTGCAGAGAGCTTAGGGCTTATGGTTTAAATGTCACTCGTGTAAATATCTACTAGTGCTCATGAAACATGCACTGAACACATGCTCATCAGCATACCAATTAAATCTTCACCAGCAGATTTGTACTTCTCTGTCTTCTTAAGCAGAGTCTCCTTACACACAAGACCAGACATTCAATCTTCAATGTCACTTCGTGCAGAGAGTCAAGTATTGATCAGCAATTCTGCCATGAAGGACAACTCGACTGACAATACAATACACTTTAATGTGAATAAATTATGCTTTCATTAGAGTGCAGTATGATTTAGGACAACAGTCAATTCAATTATACAAATAGGAATCTCTACTTCAGTTTTACTGAACAAAATACTACCAACAACATAGAAACTCTATTTTAAATAGCAATATACATGTAGACTATTCATAACTTCTCTTAAATAACTATATACATGTTAATAATTTCAATACAATTGAAATGCTTTTACTATTTTTAAAAGCATTAGGATGAATTAATGTACTAAAGTTTCTTTGCAAGTACGAACTCTGAACCCAATACATAACGAATCCTACAATACCAAACATTATGAAGCCATTTTTCGTGTACTTCAAATTCCTTCTCACTGGACTCGATTGCAAAGATTTATTACTAAAGTAAATTCCCATTCCACCTTAGTTAATTTTCAGACACCAAGTATGAGAAATGGGAACTTGTGTTGTATAAACATAGCAAATGCTAATTATTATCTTACAACAATTACATGTACTTAGTACTATTTTTATGTTGTTCAAAAGGCAGCAAGGAAAAAAATCTCAGAAATATGATACATGTATTTGCAGGTTTAAGAAAAATTGTTTTAGATACATATAAAATTAATATATATTTAGCTTATGCTTTAAAAGGTAGTGGATTTGAATTTAATCTTTTTTATGTGGAATTAATAATGATAAATCCATAATGAAAGCAAAAGAATGGAATTTTTAAATAATTGAAACCAATAATATATTTATATAATATGTATCCTTTGAAAACTTGACTTATGTACCATGGTAAATTTTATTCCCATTTTACAATGATATTTGAATTTAAAATAAAATCAAATATGGTAATTGGATTAATATATATATTTGAAGATTTACTATATTCACTCCTATATCATTGAAGCTGAAAAAATATCATGGTTAAAGTAAAATTTTATTTTATTACTTTAGATTTTGCTTAAGTTGTAGTAATTCCTAAATTTTTGATTTATTTACAAAAGTTTTGTTCCAATTTCACCTATATCAAAATTCTCCATTTCACTTGACATGTAGTTCTTTGAAATGGAATTCACAGGGAACACACCCATTTTAAATACAAACCTCACTCAAGACTCGGTTGAAAACATTTTTCTTCAATAAAGAAAGGTAAATGAGACAAAGTTTAAGAAAAACACAAAAGGTGTTCAAACACTCAATAGTCAATACTATGAGAACATCTTAATTTGAAGTAACACAAAATTAAGATATTTTTGTTTTTTATGATGTTCTGACTAATTAGGCATCTGTATGCATTAATCTCAATACTGAACTAAAAAAGTCAGGACAAAACAAACACAAAACTGACATAAACACTTATTTGTTGAACAGTCTTTGAGTCAAAATGCTATTACATACGAAAAATTAACCTTTTGATGTTCAAGGATAAAATTCAATAGACTTTAAAGTAATAAATATTGCACTAATTCAACATCACTTCTTAAAAAATAACCTCTTTTATAGGAGTACTATTTATGTGTTTGAACTTGAGCTGCTATATTTTTATGTATACTTATTTACATAATACTTTATATATACCAGTACAGAAGGGTTTCTACTGAAAATTAACAGAACTCCCCAGTCTATTCAGTCCTTTTCTCGGAGGTTGATGTTCCAGCCCAAGACTTTTCTGTCAAATCCACAGGAGAACAGGTTACACACTGGATGATCCTCTGTCCAGGCTACGGAGGTCACCATCTTACTATGACCCTGTCAAAGTTTAAAGTTCGGAATAAATATGGTCCATAACATACACTAATTAAATTACACGCATATTTCATCTACTGCTATACAAGACGAGCATTATCAGGTGAAGGAAAATGAGCGTACAGTTTTATTAATACCGTTATGTCTGAGCTTTGCGAACAGAACATTGATACTTCTCTTCTTATATTTGTGTGCGTATGTGACAGCAGTCATCACACTCTATTATATTTATGTACCTGTCTATTACTTCTAGGAAGTCGTCCTATTCTGTTTCCGTTGATGTCATAGATTCTGATGTGTCTGTTGTCATGTGGTATCGCAATCAAACTCTGGCTTGAAGAAACAGACAACCTGAAAATGCCAAATAAATAAAATAAATGTGTGGTGAGTCAAGAAAGATAACTCTTTTGCACTGTACCACCAGGAAAGAGTGGGTTGTAAAGAAAGGTAAGTCTTGAAAAGTTCCTATGAATTTTTGTGTATAGATATGAAGCACATTGCAAGACAGTGTTGATTTTGAACTGCCCATTTTCTCTAACTAACTGCATTTTATGTGGACCATTTTGTTATTTATACAATTAAATTTCAGAGCAATTTGTGAATACTTTACACAGTCTAATTAGCATAAATGGATAAGAAAACTGATTTGTAAACTGATGCCAAATGGCAACCTAAATGCAAATTTTATCTAGAATGTTGTAAAAGGCATCTGTACAAAAAGAAACCTTTTACCTGTTTACAGAAGAGTCTATCCTAATGGCAGCCAAAGGAGATCTCATGTTTTTGACGTCCCATACTTTGACTGTCCGATCATCACTTCCTGATACAACTTTATCTGAGCCAGCAAACAATGCACTGGTCACTGGTCTGTAGTCAAACATTTATTTTTGTGTAAAAGTAACTTATATTCAATATATGTAGATTAGCTTCACATAAATACACAATCAAAAAGCTGCAACCCTGAATTTCAAAGTAGTTTGGATGTTCCATGCAATTTTTAGCTTTAAAGATTGGTGTAATAATCTTGTTTAAATTTGTAACATATAATGAATTATTAGGTACATACTGGTTGTGGCCTTGACATACATTGACCTGCATGCTTGGACTGCGGAAGTCCCACAGTCTGAAGGTTGTGTCCTTCGAGGAGGTCACCACTAGTTTCTGTGAATGATGTGTTCGTACATCTGTCAATTCCTGGTCATGCCCTAGAATTACAAAAAAATATTCTAACTTGTCAATTAGAGCTAATCTGCACACCATCACACTAAAGTTGATTCAAATGAAAATGATCTGCTTCCAACAAAATCTGAGATGTCATCATTATTTAGACCCACCAGTTAAGGAATTGATCTGTTCTCCAGTTTCAGCATCAAACAAAAGAGCTGTTCTATCCCATGATGCCGTGATGACCTGGTTTCCTTCCAACATCCAATCAGCTGCTACCACCACTCCAGAGTGTCCGACAAGTTCCATTGATGGTGTCCTTAGAATGGCAGCCTCCCAGGCCTGCTCTACACTCTCAGATAGAGATGAAAAATAGAACAAAACCAGTATGTAAAACATGGGATTGTTTGAAATATTTAAACTCAAAAGGTGGGATAGCTTCGATGGTAAAGCACATAATAGTTAATTTCACTATCAAACAAAACAGGTTTGTAACTTGTAAGTACCTTCTGGTTGCTCCTCTTTTTCTGAGTTGTCTACATCATCATCAACAGACACGGCTCGCTGTTTAGACAGGCAAAAATTATACGTTTACATATAGTTATGAGTTTGCTGTCCTAATAGATGTCTTTTTCTTGTTTTTTTTTTACATACTTCAGAGATAAAAAAAAAAAAAAGATAAATTGGTTTATTAATGTCAAATTCTATCAGTTATGATGAAAGAATATGTATATACCAGATGCAAAGTGATACAGTATCAAAAATGAATTTGAAGAATTTTAATTTTGATAGACTGAAAGATTGCAGACTTACTCCAAATCTCTTGCTTGCCTCTGGGAGGGTGACATGTGCCCCCCAGATGTGGGCAGTATGATCACCAGATGATGTCAAGGCTAGCTCTCGGTCTGGGTGAAACCTGATTGAGTTGACTGATCCTTGGTGTCCTAAGTACTGAAGCAAACACTGCTGGGTCTGTATGGACCAGATCCTTGCTGTATGGTCTTATAGAAATAAATCAGATTGTCAAGACAATTAATGATGCAATTAATCAATGTGTTTGTGTTATTTAAAAGAAACAAGTATGTCTAGGTGATAATAATCATATACCAGTAAATACAATTGTCTGTCTAACTTTATTCTTCAGGTACCCAATTGGTCATCCTTACCAGCAGAAGCTGTCCCAAGCACCTGTTGTCCTGGCTGGTTCGCACGAGACACCATTACCTCCCAAATCCCATCTCTGTGACCTTCAAACTTCCGCACCACAGAAAATAAGAGCGACGAGTTCCGGAAACTGGAGACTAGTTTACTAGTGGAAGCCTTGTATGTAGTTTTAATCTTCTGGGAAATCTGACTAGCTGCTGCAAGCAGAAGAAAAATATTCAACTAAACAGGTAACTTTACCATGTTATGGACAGTAATGTCAGGGTTATACATGTTAACTGAGCAGTAAAAGTAGGCTTTACCAGAAGATTGTCGGGTGATATCATGTCCTGCTGCAAGTTAAGAAATTTTACAAATTAAATTTTTGTCTGGACTAAGACTATTCAACAGAATTAGGGTAGTGAAAGGAGGTGAACTGCAAGTGAATAAAATGACCCTAAACATCAAGGTGTTTTTAATAAACAAAATACAAATCATTGCTTTGATATTTACTTTCCTTTTCTGGATACTTTGTATACAATGTAAACATAACAAACACACATGCCCAACATCATGCATTATAAATGGAAAATTGAATACACTTACATCGTTTTGGCTTGAGGCTGATATCAGAATTATCTGTATTATCTATAGAACTAGCCTCTCTGTGGGTAGCCTCTACTCTCTCTGTCTGGGCATCTAATCTCTCTTGCACTAAAGAAATGATCAGCAAAAAAAAAAAAAAAAAAAAAATAGCTGTAAGTATGAAATATGGTTAAAATCTGATCATGCATAATTACATAAATTCACAGCAAAAATGCATATTTTTAAAAAAAATATCATTCACAGATTTCTTAATACAAGACACCTTTAAAATATCTGCATCAACGGTGTCTTTTAAAAGTTTGTTAGATATATACATACATACAGACATAAATACTTACATGCAAGATTTTCAGCATAAAGAGTTTCAAATTCCTTCTCAATCTGTGAAAAAAGATCATGCAGTCTCTTTCTACAATACAAATTGAAATATAAATATTAGTTTTACATTGACTTATCTTATGTTCATGAAGTTTATATAAAATATGAAAAAAGTACATTGATAATGATTGAAATTCTAAAGTGGAATGATTTGTTTAAATTAGGGATCGCAATTTGTAACCAGTAAGTTGGTAACAGTGACAATTAATACAAAATAAACTTGTGTGACATCTGGTCTGAAATGTTTTTAGTGTCCCTGTTTTATGGACTTCTTAATTTTCCTTGCATGATAAAATGAAATATAAATTATATGTAGTGTTCAGTTCAAACTGAAGAGAATATTTCTAATGTCTTTCTTATAGTTTTCTTGTGTACCACATATGAAAAGAATTTTATACTTGAAAAGGTATATGTCAAGAAAATATGTAGATTGTATTTGATAGTTAACTGCTTAATCATGTTAATAGGTTGCAACATCTCCTGGTTAACCAATCAACATGTATTTTATTGTCATCCCTTGTTTAAAAATACATGACGAACTTTATCATCTGCATTTTTTTCCAATCATCTTGTATGTTGCAATAAAAAAATCATCAATTCATATGTTGATTGACAAATTGTAACCATCAGTGCATTTGATGCAAAATTTCCACCTCTATACCAAACAGGAAGACACTGTATCTTACCTGACATGAGGGGGCATCATATCCACATCAGAGTCAAACCTCAGCATGGGAGGGGAGTGAACCTCCTCACTGGTCTGGGCCCTCCTTCGACTGCCCTTTAACTTTGACACTGGTTTATTACTGTCTACTGGCATTGTCAATAGTGGGGGATATTCTGACTGGGGTTAATTGTACATTTTTCCTCACATCAGCATCTTGCCTGAAAATTTCAAATAATATCAAAAAACTGATATGTAATCAATTATGCAAGTATTCTATCCAAGCATTCTTTAGAAACTATAAAAGTAATCATGCAGGCATATATAAATAAAAAAAAAATAAATTTTCAAGAGTTGAAATTAAGTAAAACATGTATTCATAAATTCAGTAAAATTTCACAAATAGTATTATTATACATCAGAATAATACCAGTAAATCTGATTGATCTAGAGCATGTCACGTGTAGGGAGACAATTCGTGATGTCTCCCTCACATGCAGGGTGACACCTGTGTTGTCTCCCTATGGATGACAATAAAATAGTGCAAGCAAGCATGCAGGGTGACAACTGTGTTGTTTCCATTTGGATTAAAATATGTTGAAAATGAAATAACTCTGATATAATTAATATATACATGTATATGGGATTGGTAAACAATGAATTCTCACAGTGACTACACCCTCTGGTGATAACCCCACTCAGATCTGATATTCTTTTATATCTCCCAACTAAATAGTCCATAATGGTTTGGGGATAATTTTTTCATGTATTCCTCTCCATTCTCCAATCTTGTAGAGTTTTCATGCAAATTAACACCCAGGATTTGTTGTTCAAGTGCACAAGATGATAAACAACAAGTTTGACCTGTTTTAAAGATGTGCCTAAATTATTATTCATTTTATTTTCAAAGACAGGTAAAAGTAGGTAGAAGTAGGTACATCAAGTAGGTTTAAATACCTAGGTAACTATTAATAGCTAAGTAGGTAGAAATAGTCTTTGGACTGGACCTGGTTACAGCAGCAAAAGGTGGGGTGTACACATCTAGGGAGGGAGCTTCCGGCGTCTTTTAGGAGATGTAGACGGTTTTCTATATCTACACATTATGAAGATTTAATCTGCGATGATAATGATATATTTAACATGTCTATAACTTACGCATATGATATTTAATGTTTAAGTAGCATACCATTGTGCTGAAGAAGTTTATAAACATAAATGAACTGGCAGAGCAGCCTCTACCATGTCTACTGTTTTATGCCCTAGATAAATAAATGGAACAAAAATATGAGAGTTCGATATTTCCATAAGAAATGCATTTACCTACCAGAAAATACAGTGGTAGGTCTAGGAAAACATCGTTAAAAAAAAGAATAAATAAAATTTTACCCGGAAATAAAAGATATGTAGATAAAAAGAAAAACCGAAAAAACCAGAATTGTTATTTCCGGATTTCTTAGAGCAGATGCTCTTACTCGGCACAACCTGGGTTCGAGCCCATATTGCATTAGCCAACACATTCAAAATTAAAAAAAAAAAAAAAAAAAGATTTAAGAACTGACGGAACAGTGTGCTCGGTTTCAGCATGTGTGTTTTTCAATGTCTCTCTAAATTACACTGAATGAAATCGCTGAAATTAGCAGTTTTTTTTTTTTTTTTTTTTTTTTTTTTTTTTTTTTTTTTTTTTTTTTTATAGATTTTTCAAAAACCATGCGAATAACAATTTTAGTCATGTTTATATAAGTAAAATGAATAAGTTAAACCGCATAGATTTTTAATTTTTCATTTAAAATTTTACAATAAGGCCAATCCAAGTTTTTTTTCTATGTTAGCGTCCGCGTGCGCCTTGGTTTTTGACATCACATATCAGAAAAAAAAAAAATCAAGAGTCCTGAAATTGATTATTCTGGTCAATATCTTTGAATTTTGTCAATTTCTGTAAACATTTGTCAACAATATGTCATAGTAGGTATATTTTAAGCATTCAATACCTTGATTTTACTAAAGAATAGATCTTCCTACGAGAAAATTAGATTGATGAAATTAAATCCTTTAAATGACGTAAATTTTATGGCTATAAAGTCTGTGTTTTATATTTTGGCTTGTGTGTGTGTGTGTGTGTGTGTGTGAGGGTGAGTGTGTGCGTGTGTGCCGTGTGTGTGTGAGGGAGGGAGGGTGTGTGTGTGTGTGTTGTTTTTGTTTTATTTTTTTTAATACGAAAGATGGGCGGACGCTAAACAGAGAAAACACATGGAATGGCCTAATATCCTGTATAGTGATAGAAATTTGTATAGAGTTTATAAAGGTAGTATTTTGATCATTAAAGAAAGTTTTAAAATTTCTTGATATTTTAGAAATTTGATATTTGCATGATTTACAATTAACCAAAATAGGTCCAAAGATATATACCAATCCAGGCATCCATTTTTGTTTGTTTGTATCATCTGCCCTTAATAATATCAGAACAGTGATCGTACATAAAAAGGGTCTTTTTATCTACAGAGAAACACTATATATGTTAAAACTGCTAATTTAAACCGTTTTCGATTTTTCTTTGATTTTCAATCATACGTACATTCATGACCCGAGCGCCTTTTATCCATAGGTAATTTGGTTCTGTATGCATAGGCGCTCCCTCGGGTTTATTGTTTTAATCACATTTCGATGCGAGCTCCATATATAACAGCTGGTTAATATCGGCAACAACAACAACAACCATGTTCGATGCTAAGCGCTAATCTTGACCATTTAAAAATCACGGAAAGGAGGTATCAAAATAAGAGGGGATAACACATAACATGTGAAGTATATATCAGTCGCGGAAAAGCAGACAGGTCGTGAAAATAAAATCGCGGAAAAGCAAGACGGCCAGTAGAGCATTTGCTAAACCCGGCAATGTTTCTTTGTTAGTCCCCTACCGGTGAAACCGGAGGAGACTATAGGTTTCCTCTGAGTCTGTCCGTCCGTCTGTCTGTCTGTCTGTCTGTCTGTCAGTCTGTCCCACTTGGTTTTCCGCACTTTTTTCCTAAACGCTTGCAGATATTGAGCTGATTTTTGGTATGTGAGTGTATCTTGATGACTTACAGATCAAGTTTGCATTTTGTTCCGCTTCATTGAATTTTGACGGAATTACGGCCTTTTCAATTTTTAGGGGTTTTCCGCAATTTTCTTCTTAACGCTTTCAGATATTGAGCTGTTTTTTGGTATGTGACTTAACTTTGATTAGTTATAGATCAAGTTTGCATTTCGTCCCGCTTCATTGATTTTTGACGGAATTATGGTATTTTCAATTCTTAACGGGAACCAGATTACACTTGCCGGTAGGGGACTAGTATTGCTAATGCAATACTCTCAGAATGCTTGTTTAAAAGGAATTTTAAGAAGTTTAGGAATCCATAGGTAGGGTAGATCGAACTCACCTTGGTTAGATGGAATGCTAAAAGCATTTAGGACTGATTTGTGATTTTAAAGAATTTCACCTTTAGAAAGTGATCATGAACTGTGAGTATAAGTAGAATTTAAACCAAGTTTTTCCAAAATACAGTTAAAATAACTAGCCTTATAAACAAAGGCAACACGCTTGTTACAAGCCTTGTCTGCTGAAACCATAACATATTGTTCATGTAGTCTCTCTGATTCTTTTAGCACCTCATAATTTTTATGAAAACGGAAGGATAGATGGTTCGCATATTGCCTTTTAACTTTCTAACACGATTTTTTTAATACATGTAAAATTCTACTATGTTACATCCATTCTGACAAAGTATTCAGGTCCCTTCTTCATATTTAACCCAACGTCAGGCATAATCTTCGACAAAATTCATAATAGAAATGGAAATATCAGGACTCCCTTTATTTGGAACACTTTAAGATGATAGCTCTTAGGTCGTCATTATCAACTATATCAACATATAGGTAATGACATCTCCAGCGGGAATGTAGTTGAAAAAAAGAATAAAAGCAAGAACAATAATAGATGTTCAATATTTAAGTATTGTAAGGTTTGTTTATAATTGAAAAGTCTGAAAGCAACAGTTTGAAGACATCTGTAGAAAATGCAGAGTGTAGACTTCAACTCGAAATGTGGTGCAGAATTGATCTTTTTTATGATTGAAAGTGTTACGTATGTTCGGAGCATCTATTCATATGTTTCCAAAAACAATAAAAATGTAGACGGATGTATATACCGTCTTTTATCAGAAAGTGCGAGGTTATGAATGATTTGTATCTTGATTGATCTACTGTTCAAGCCAGACGAAAATGTTCCAAGCACGAGCTGATCAATGATTTATTTATCTGTGACATGCCTTTTTAGAGAAATAATTATGATCGATAATAAATAAGGTAGGAACATATCAAAATATGTTGACGTGGATTTATTTGTTAATTTATGTAATATATAACATCTAGTATTGGCACTTGCAAGGCTTTCCCTGTTAAAACAAAGAAAAAACAACGCATATTATTAAAGACATCATAACGATTTTCATATATTGGAAAGATGTGCAGTTAGGTAAATGATACAAGTCCTTACCAATTTCATTTCACAGACATAGTAGTTCCTATGAGCACAGCTGTCCACATGCCAATGGTATTTGTAATGCTGCCAGAAAACTCCACAATTCCAGTCTCCCTTTTTATGGTACACGGGCTCGCTACCATACCAGTCAAACTTGTGGCATCGCCTCTTTGTGAATCCCCAGCTCCATCTGTGAGCGTTAGGGTAAAGACAGTCGTTTAGGGCCATCCATGCTCCAGGGGACACTTTAAAAAGTCATACCAAATGTATTGAAAATTTTCTTTTTTTTGTAATTAAGACTTTTTATGATTTACAGTATGAAAAATATATTCAACATTCTTTCTCTGACAAAATAACTTTCCTTTCTCTGAGAGGAATCATTGCTCTTTTCAAAAGGATAACAAAATAATCTAGGTTTATTCAAATGAAATAGAAGTTGAATAACTAAATATATGAAAAATAATTTAAAGACATATGTGTACACAATTCAAGACACATGTATTTTATTCCAGAGTAAACAGAAAATTGTCTTGCTCAGGTTAAATTTTGCAACTTTATTACAAGTATAACAAAATCATATATAGTCATACTTAGTGTAGATTTAAAAACTGTTTCAATAATTGGTGTCTCTTTGCCTGGAAACCACAAAGAAATGATTTTAACTTATCCAGCTCTCAATAATAGCCTTCATAATCCACTCTGTGACGTATAGGAATCACGTTATAGCAAAGCTTTTTATGAATACAACTTTTGGCGTTAGTTTTTGGATTTTATATTTTTGAACATTAATATGTAAATTATTAATATCTCATATGCAAGATACTCATTTGCATTAAATACTTAAAAAAAACCCACTCAAATACATTTATTACATTTCGCAAATTCTAATGGCCTTGTTAGCAAATACAGTCGGTTGTTAAGTCGAATACTGACTTACTTTTTTTCCATATAAATTATTAGGCCATTATTTTCACACTGAATTGTCTGTGGATTTTTCTGTTTACCCGATCACGACAAGGAGCACACGGCGGGTGTGACAAGTGGACAGGGAATGCTTACTCCTCATTGCCATCTGATCCCATCGATCTCTGATGTGTTTATAGGCCCGAGTTTGCTCTGCTCACAATTTGTATTGAAGTTCTGAGCTTGATTACTGTTCGTTATCTTCATATTTCATTCATTCTTATAAGAACAATGAATCTCTTAGATAGAGACGATTTCTTGGTTCTATTCAGTTATTAACATTCCTACCTCCATACATGGCCAGATGATGCCTGACATATGTATTTTCATGAGCTTCATCCACATTACACAGGAATCCTCCCATGGAAGCACATTTCATCTACAATTTACCAAAAATTACAATGCTATTTATTTCATTGTGCTGTATGAAAATTGAATAACTGACTGGCGAGCTTGTGTTTTTCTCTGAAATTAGTTACTCCTTCACAATTGAAGTCAGCTAATTCAGCCAATTACTAGCTATTATAATGTAAGACTGTATACCTCTGCCTGCCACCATGAAAGTCTGTCTCGACTGAAATAATAACAGCTCCCGTGGTACAGTGACCAACCATACGGGCAACTTCCCGTGGCGACTTTTGCAGCAACATACCCAAATTTGTTGTATTTAGGGGCATAGTCGTAACTCGCGTTGACTACTAAATTAAATGAAATATAGTTACATGTCTCTTAGGACAAAGTAAAAGAGAACTGTCTTAACCAAGGTATATTTAGAATTGTGATGAATACTGCAATATAAATGTTCAATAATAGTATGAAAAAGCAATTAAAAATAAGTTAAACTATTAAAAATTATAAACATTACAGTTCTACCTGCACAAAGGCTTATCAGAAGAACGACCGCAATAAAGGCGTTCATGGTTTCAGTCTCAATAGTAACTGTATATTACCAGTTCAACATCAACATATATACCTGTCGGTTTATGGTGCATTTAGCAAAACATGTAAAACGATTAAGATTTTATTGTAATGATTAATAATTGAGATATGAGCTAACACACACATATTTGCTGAATTTGCACGATCAAAGTGTTGTTGTCTTCTACTTAAGGCTTACAGACGGCTGAACTCACATGATTCTGGCCGGCTCGTGAAAGGTTAATTATAGCCCAAACACTATATAAGTTCGTCGTCTTTCTTCTAAAGAATCACTAACTGAATCTGTAAAATGAATCAAGTTATTCTAATCAGTTTGATCCTAAGTGCCATAGTAGCAGGTGAGTAGAATTGCCAATAAGTATATCCTTTATTATAAAAGTAAGGAACATCAGTAGGATACTATTGTACGTGTGTAATCTCGGATAAATTTTTCAATTATATTGCAAGAAATATTTTTTTTAATATTGTACAATCGACATGTCCTATGTTAAGTTGTTGAAAATATGTAAAGCAAAGAGTAAAAGATGAAATGTATCTGGTCATTTCTTTTTGCAACTTACAACTAATGGACTCTAATAATGAAAAAATGATCGTCATGGGAATTTTAAAATTATAATTATGGTTAGTAGAAGACAATTTTGATAAACTGGATTCTTTTTTTTACCTTTTGATGACAACATTTATTTGTGATAAAACGTTTGGTTGAATTTCCGAGATCAAACCTTTTTGAAATTCAGTTTCTGAGGCTAGCTATGGAAACAGACCTAAATACCACGCCTTCAAGTATGCTGCCGCTCTCAGCTCAGGTGGATGTCCACATGGGTGGCACCAGTACAATAAACATTGTTACTGGTTCAGCAGAACCAAACTCAACTGGTACAGAGCATCTGTAAGTATATCCTTGAATTTTTTATCCCAAATTTCATAACATCCATACAAATTACTCATAACATTCACTATTGTTCTTATTATAAGTATAATAAATACAAAGATATAAAGAAGAGACGGTAGAAAACAAACAATATTGCAGTCGGTAAAGTATAATGCTTACATGTAATAAAGTAAAAAAAACAAACAGTTGAAGCATAGTTTGTAGCTTGCTTCTTTTATCTGTAGATGAGATGTGTCGCTATGGGAGGATACCTCGTCTCTGTTGACCAGTCCCACGAAAACACATATGTCCGACACATGTTGAGCGTCTATGGATGTAAGTCACAAGTAACCAATGAAAATTTCAACCGTAAGAATTATGTTTTGAAATTCATCTCTTTATGAATTGTAAAAAATTATTTATTTCTTGTGCAGTCAGAAGAGGAGCCTGGCTAGCTTTGAATGACGTTCTCAGACCAAACAAACATAGATGGTGCTGGGGATTCACCGTCAAGCCATGCCACAAATTTGACTGGTACGGTCAGGAACCAGTTTATCATGAACATGGGGACTACAATTGCGGTATCTTCTGGAAGTCTTACAAATACCACTGGCACGTTGACAGCTGTGGACAGGTTAACCATTTCGTTTGCGAGAAACCAATGGTAAGTCAATAAATTCACTAATGAACAACTAAAGTTCAAGTAATACTCTTTAAGATTGTAGAATGTCGTTCTTGTGTATAATAATTCATACATTGTTTTGTGCTTGTATTTAAGTATCGATGTAATGCGAAAGAGTTTTTAATCATCAATACTTTTACAAAATCTATTTAAAGCATATAAAATAGACATTTTTTTTTCTTCAACTTTTAGGGAAAGCCATGTCATTGTTCTTACTAGAGTGTGTTTCAAATAAAGAGTTGTTTTCCATGAGTCGTTCTACTTCTTTTATTCATCGAAATATCTCTTCAGAAGTTCAATTTCAGCCACATTTGAGAAGTTCACGAGGACGAATATTTCTTTAACAAATTCGCAAGTGAACAATATATAAGCCATTTACTGGAGTAGAGGATAGACTACAGTGCTTTTTTTTTTTTTTTAAATAATATTCACTTTTTTTAGAAACAAAGAAAATTGGCACAGACTAATGCTTTTGGTGACAATTAAATGAAGAATATAAAAAGATATAGTTTAATTCTGTTTATAATTCACATTATCATACCTTTACTAATTTTCCTCTGTAAAAATTCTACAGATTCAAATATTGTGAAGACCTTGATTTACGGCACGCTTTTTTTATCGGGCATTATTTCTTGTATTACATGCGTTCCCTCGCGAAAAGCATGGTATCCATTGATTAATCATATATGTCACTTCGAATCTTGTTTCTTTTTTAAACTTAAAACGTTTCAAACAACCCTATATGGCCTTGGAATATCAGTATCAAAAATTTGCATTTCGACATTTATTTTTTCCTTTGAATAGATTCACCGGGTGCCCAGAATCCAAATAACTACCTCAATAAAACTTGTTAACAGTACAATGTATTTTCATACAATTTATCAAATTAAAACAGATTTTTTAACGATTTTTCAACTGATAGGAAGATGGACGTTGTAATAGTGTGTTTGTAAGGTTATGATAAAATGAAGTTCTTTAAAAAAGGGTCATAAATAATTTTATAAAAGAAAACGTATAAAATATATGCTTTTAAAATTTTAATCACAGGAATTTAAAAATTTCAAAATTATTTTCTGATATTTTTTGTATAATGAAATATGGAGATAATGAACAGTATTCAAGCTCATAAGTCCATTCAAACAATACAAATCTGGAGCTGGGACATACACAGACCTTTAAAACATCAGAGGTGGGATCAGATGCCATGGAGGATTGAGCATCCCCTGCTGACCAGTCACATCCGCCGTGTGCTCCTTACCATGATCGGGTAAAACGAAAAAAAGCCGTAGAAAATTCAGTGTGTAATAATGGCCTAACAATTACTATGAAAAACGTCAGTCAGCATTTGGCTTAATGATAGATTGTATTTGCTTACAAGGTCATTGTATTGACCATAAAACTTGGAAAATGATAACTTTAAGCGAGACCGTTGATATTTTTGTTTGTTTGTTTATCAATAGCTTACCTCGTTTTAGAAATCGTTCGTGCGTAGAGCACATGCGTATCGAATCAACTGAGAGACATAAACCCCATATGCAGGTGATATAAGGGTATATTGCTACACGAGTAAGGGAAGCTGAAGATTGAAATTTTGAAGTCATCACGTTTATCATAAAGCTTTGTTGTTAGAGTACCATTAATAATAACCTTTTACTTTTCTAGTAAAATATCCAAATATGAAACAAATGTGCCAGACTCTGTGGAATCTTTTATTTCAAGTTCTCTGGGATATATCGAGTCGATATATGAATGAAAGTAACTATTGTTAAATGATAATATGTCGTCGATATATCGAAATGTCGACTTGAAGGCAACAGCAAGTGTTTTCTTCTTCTCATGTATGAGATTTTAAATGAAATATGGAAATAACGAAGATCATTCAAGCTCAAAGTTCATTAAAACAATACAAATCGGGTTCAGAGCAATCACGGACCTCAAAAAAAAAAAAAAAAAAAAAAAAATCAGAGGTGAGATCAGGTGCCATGGAAATGTGAGCATACCCTGCCGACCGGTCACTCCCGTTGTGTGCTCCGCGTCATGATTGGGAGATAACGGAATAAAATGTTTCAAATGAAAACAAAAATAGGTCTGCTTATACTGGGGCGTAATTGGTACCCATAGAAATTCCGACAGATTGCTCATATCTGTCATATTTTATAGTATCCATGAAAACAGGAAAAATTCGTAATTTTTTTCACATTTTGATATGACGCTTCTGGAAACCAGACTATAGAATTTTGTATTTCTTACATGTACATAGAATGCACAATTTAGTATAACTCATCATATATTATAATTTGAACAAAAAGTCTATTGTAGTATTTGTAAAACTTGCTTTGAAGTGCGAAAACTAGCACTTTCCCATATAATCCAATAGTAAATGTACCTGTATTTTGAGACGGTCCCTAAAATACCCAGATGATAGATTTTCCCTAAACTTAGCACGTGCACTGAAGTCATTGTAAGTTGCATATGATATAAAATTAAAGTGTTTTTCTATTTTAAACCCCCAGTCGGCTCAAGCTCCCTTCAATGATTAACAAATGTAACAAGCATTCTGAGAGTATTGCATTAGCAATACTAGTCCCCTACCGGCAAGTGTAATCTGGTTCCGTTCCCGTTAAGAATTGAAAATGCCATAATTGCGTCAAAAATTAATGAAGCGGGACGAAATGCAAACTTGATCTGTAACTAATCAAGGTAAAGCCACATACCAAAAATCAGCTCAATATCTACAAGCGTTTAGAAGAAAATTGCGGAAAACCCGTAAAAATTGAAAAGGCCGTAATTCCGTCAAAAATCAATGAAGCGGAACGAAATGCAAACTTGATCTGTAACTCATCAAGATACACTCACATACCAAAAATCAGCTCAATATCTGCAAGCGTTTAGGAAAAAAGTGCGGAAAACCAAGTGGGACAGACTGACAGACAGACAGAGGGACAGACAGACAGACGGACAGACAGACAGACAGACGGACGGACAGACTCAGAGGAAACCTATAGTCCCCTCCGGTTTCACCGGTAGGGGACTAATTATCAAAGAGAGTTACCAGTCGCACATGCGCAGTTTATTTTCAATTTTTTCTTTTACAAGAGATGAATCAAGATTTCTCGTGGATCTAGATTGAGATTTGTAAAAGGACAGTTTTCTGAACGCCTAAAAAGTGTATTTAAGTAGCTGGAAAAATAATTCACTTTTTAATGTATTCAGAAAAGTCTCCTTGGCGCTTCTCCAACCAGTGTAAACTATAAAGAACCTTTCCCTTTCTGAAGAATTCGAGATTAATGGGATCAAAAATGAAACAATTTCTGTCTTATATGCTGTTTTAGAGCAGTTCCTTTGAAATGACTCGATACAAAGATTTTTTTTACAATCATCAAAGCCTTAAGGTTCAATACTGTAAAATATGAGAGCGGAGGACCACATGTTTTTTTTTCCGAATTACTATTTATTATATATAAATTAAGGCACAAAATTCGAGAGATCACAAACTGAACGCTGAACAGAAGGGAGAATGTAAACAGTTAATTTTTTTGAATAGGAAAAATACTGAATTACTCGTACCTGTTTTTAACAAGTGTAAGCAATATCCGTCCATACATGTCCAAACATTGTACAAGTGCATGTAAATACTGTCTATCTTTTACATACTTCATATATTTCAGAATGGTTGAATAAGTTGGATTTATCTATCTTTCCATGATCCATATTATAAAATCAAAAGCAGTACCAATAATAAAGCTTAGTTTCTTCCTATGAAGGCTATAGTCGGTTCACCCCTTCCACTATACAGCTAAATTTCATATGGGGGTGCTGGTATAAGCATTACTGGGTATAAGCCTCTTTATGGCACCGGTATCAAAGGGAAATATACAGAGGATATTCAATGTTTTGTAGTTGGGTATGGAATTTATTTCACGAGTGGGGCAGGCTTTTTTGATATTTTCACGAGTGCGAAGCACGAGTGAAAATATAAGAAAATCCTGTCTCACGAGTGAAATAAATTCCATATCCAACTACAAAACATTGAATTTTCTGTTTATTACATTTTTCTTTGATTTTCCCTTTACCTCTCTCTTTTCTTAACACAGTGTCACAGGACTGTTACGTCATAGTTGAGCGATAGAGACGTCATAGCTTAGCAGTTGTGAGATTGAAAACATTGTAACATGGATTTTAGCAAAATATTTGGGAAGAAATTGGCAGTTTTAGTATCTATAAAGACGGTTTAGTTACTATATCTTATGACAGGCCAGAAATAATTTTTTACTTACTTTGACATCCTTTCACACTGTGAGAGAATATCACATTGGTATCCTTTCACACTGTGAGAGAATAGCACTTTTATTCAATAAATAAATCATAGTATTTCACTGTTGAAAATGTAATAAGGTGGTGAATAGCGATGTGAAAGTTATCTTTGCAATTCTTTCAATATTGTTAATCAAGATAAAATATATATGCGTCTTGAATTAACATTCTCCTAAGTATTTTATAAGAAAAATATGAAAATGTTCCAGTAATACATTTTTATGCAATTTTTTCTTGAAAAGCTAAAATATTTGTGGAAGAAAATACATTAGAAAGGCTTTTCCATATCAAGTGCATCTCTTTATTGGTACTGATGATACCGATGATACTGTTGTTTACGTTTCTCAATGCGTGCGTACATTGTCCTTGTTGCATTCATTTAAGGTGTCCATCCAGTATTACAAAAAAGAAAATATTTCTATCCCAATTCTATCTTTAATGTAGTGAGCAAAACTTTACATTTAATATTGGCACTTGCATGGTTTCCCCTGTGGATTTAAAAAGAAATAAATTAGTGGTGAAATCTTTCTACATACTTTAAAAAAAATGAAATTGTTTAAAAATATGGAAAAATCATGTCTATACCAGTTTCATTTCACAGACGTAGTAGTTCCTATGAGCACAGCTGTCCACATGCCAATGATATTTGTAATGCTGCCAGAAAACTCCACAATTCCAGTCTCCCTTTTTATGGTACACGGGCTCGCTACCATACCAATCAAACTTGTGGCATCGCCTCTTTGAGAATCCCCAGCTCCATCTGTGAGCGTTAGGATAGAGACAGTCGTTCAGGGCCATCCATGCTCCAGGGGACACTTGAAAAGATATATACCAAAACCATCAGAGTTTATATTCCACTCAAAGGGCATAAACTATGACTGCAATATTGTCTGCAGTTCAATTCCAGACAAAATTCCCGTCTTGCTTCTTGTCATACAGTAGTTTTATACCTTAATGTTTATTATTTTGCCGTTTTTTTTAAATCTCATCATGCAAAGAAGAATGAAGAATGCTTAAACATATTCATACATCTTAAAACATATTCATACATCTAAATTAGAAATAAACATTTGGATTTGAAAATCTCATTCTTGTCGATAGCTATGAATGAAACACTTAAATATTGAGTGCCTCTTCGTTTTCATTTGAAAGATAGTAATGCAGCTTCTAAGTACACATAATACCAAACATACATACATGTACATGAACATCATATATAGTAACACAAAACTAACGAGGAAACCCATATTCATACACTGTATAAGATGGGTTCATTTACCTCCATACATTGCCAGATGATGCCTGACATATGTATTTTCATGAGCTTCATCCACATTACACAGGAATCCTCCCATGGAAGCACATTTCATCTACAATTTACCATAATGAAATAAAATGATAAATTTAAACAGTGTGTTATAATATTACAAAATTGCAAAAGAGGTATAGTTGCACGAAAAAGAAGCGACGGGGTACACTTGGTGAACCCCACTTGGTGACAGAAAAAAAAAATATCTTGAAAAAAAAAACTACTTTAAGGACCACATGTATTTTTTCTTTATAATGTGAAGCTGTATCATACATGTATAAATCATAAAAAACATTTTGAATACGCCTTCATAAACATAAGGAATGACGTGAACATCAAAATACGGTGTAAGAATTATTACTCTTTTAGGATTTAAGATAAAAACTAATTTATTTATTTATTTATTTATTTTTTTGAAAATAAGAGTACCTCTGCCTGCCACCATGAAAGTCTGTCACGGCTGAAATAATAACAGCTCCCATGGTATAGTGCCCACCCGTATGGGCAGGTGCCAGCAGCAATCTTGGCGGCGACGTATCCGAATTTGTTATATTTAGGGGCATAATTGTAGCTTGCCTCAACGACTATATAAAGAGAAAAAAATCAATTAATATTGCAAATCCAATTAAATTATAGACTATAATAGAAGCCGTCTGAGTATAAAACTTGTTGCATTCCTTAAGACTGAGAAATCAGTAGGCTAAAAACATGTCTTCGAAATGAAACACAACGCTACCAATTAACCTCTACAGAACTTACATATATTGCTAGGATAACATTGTTTAATTTTTTTTTATGTTAATTCAAACAACTAAAAATGGTATAATATCTAAAGGCAGATCATGATTTACCTGAAAGGACGCATACTAGAAGAGCGACCACAATAAATGAATTCATATTGTTTCAGTGTCAGACTGAGCTGTGCCTTATCCACCTTCAACCCCCAAATATATATACTTGTTGCGTTATGGTGCATTTAGCAAAATATGTCAAAACTTTTAAGGTGATTAAGCAGTTACTAATGGTAGTGTTACCAAACATTAAAATATTTGCTGAATTTGCCAAGCAAAGGTGTTACTGTAGCACGCCTAAATTACATTTGATTAAACTAGCATGGCTTTGGTGTGTCTGTAATCGTTTGTCGCCTGTATCCCTTACAATATATAAATGTTCTATGCTTCTTTCCCAGCAACACTCTCTGATTCCATAACGATGAATCAAGTCATTTTAGCCGCCCTGGTCGTAGCTGCCATTGTTGCTGGTGAGTAGTATTTTCTGGACAAAAAAATCTTAAAGTTTTTTCCTTGGTCCTCTACACTACTGTTTATGGCGTAATTTTGAATGTTTTATCACCTGTCATATGTTATTATGTAATAAGTTTAATACATTAAATATTTTAATTTTTAAAGTAAAAACATATGAAATTTAAAAAAAAAATCAGAACAGAAATATTTATGCTATTTCCTTACATAATTTTGAAGAGAGATTCACACAATGAATTAAATTTTATTCATAATTAGGCACCTACAAGTAATTTACATATACATTAACTCCTGTTTGATTTTTAGCAACTTTACATTATACTTATAATATGTCAGCACTGGCGAGTCTATATATGCATTAAAATATCCTCATTCATGTACGTATATAGAATTTTGAAGCATTCCAAGAACATTTAAGCGATTTCTGTAAATAGTAATATTGACAAAAGTCAACCGAATAATACAAAATCAAATTATCTTTTTAAGGAACAAGTTACAGTTAGCATGTTAAATTCTTCGAATACTTGTTTAATCTATTTCTTTACAAAAGAGGCTTTTGTATTTTTCTTTTGATCTAAATGAGCTAAGAGACTCTGATATTCCATAAAAAAATTTAAAAGCCAAGTCTAACAGAATTCAATGCCTACTCTCAGTTTCTGAGGCTAGCTATGGAAACAAACCTAGATACCACGCCTTCAAGTATGCTGCCGCTCTCAGCTCAGGTGGATGTCCACACGGGTGGCACCAGTACAATAAACATTGTTACTGGTTCAGCAGAACCAAACTCAACTGGTACAGAGCATCTGTAAGTATATCCTTGAAATTTTTATCCCAAATTTCATAACATCCATACAAAATACTCATAACATTTATTTTTGTTCTTATTATAAGTATAATAAATACAAAAATATAAAGAAGATACGGTAGAAAACAAACAATATTGCAGTCGGTAAAGTATAATGCTTACATGTAATAAAGTAAAAAAAAAGTTGAAATATAGTTTATAGCTTGCTTCTTTTATCTGTAGATGAGGTGTGTCGCTATGGGAGGATACCTCGTCTCTGTTGACCAGTCCCACGAAAACACCTATGTCAGACACATGTTGAGCGTCTATGGATGTAAGTCACAAGTAACCAATGAAAATTTCAGAATTAAGAATTATATTTTGAAATTCATCTATTTATGAATTATAAAAAATTATTCATTTCTTGTGCAGTCAGAAGAGGAGCCTGGCTAGCTTTGAATGACGTTCTCAGACCAAACAAACATAGATGGTGCTGGGGATTCACCGTCAAGCCATGCCACAAATTTGACTGGTACGGTCAGGAACCAGTTTATCATGAACATGGGGACTACAATTGCGGTATCTTCTGGAAGTCTTACAAATACCACTGGCACGTTGACAGCTGTGGACAGGTTAACCATTTCGTTTGTGAGAAACCCATGGTAAGTACTACATTATTTCACAAGTATACATTTTTTAAAATTTCAAATATATCATCAATCTCCCTGTGATAACTCATTTTATCTAGCCCCGACTAATTTGTAAATATACACTGGTTGAAATAAAGATTTTTTAAAATACAAATATGTATTGATAAATAAATTCATTTGATTATTAATTCTTACTATCTATCTTATTTATTATATCTATAGTTCTCATTATTCTTTCTTGAATTTGCAGGGCAAGCCATGTCGTTGTTCTTATTAGACTGATCTAAATAAAGGGAAACTTTTAATATACATGTGTTTATTTAAATAATATTTCCCTATTTAGGAAATACTTCTAATTGATTACATATATAAACATTAAATTAAAAATATTTAATTGATTCGTTTTAAAATTCTAATTTTGTTTTGTTTGTCAACAAATGTTTATTTTGAATCTCACAAATGTTACCCTTCAGGTGAGCAGATTGAAACAAAGAATGTATCATTTGGCATATGCTGATATTAACCTAGTTACACAATCACTGTTATTCGTAATTGAGTATTATATATTTATATTTATGTCCAAAGATTTACTGACCTTGGTAAAATATGAAGAAAAAAGGTAAAATGATGCAATTATAGTTATCTAAAAAGATTATTTTAATTTCTATAATTGGTCTTATTACGTTTCAAATTCATATTGCCAGTAGTCATTCTTTTGTTGTTTGCGTATATGAATACCTCCATCAACTGCATATTTTTAAAATATTGCTTAAAAACTAAACAAAGGTAACCTTGGTCTTAAAAAATCAAATAGATTTTGTTGTTTTTTTTTTAGTCTATTTCTTTGACAAGTCTTGTTCTATGTGATCTCGATATAACAGTTTTGCTTCACTTTGCGATTTCATGGTCTTTATGTCTTACGCATAATTAAGCTTAGAATAAGTCTTCCCTTCTATACACTCAACATTTATAAAGAATTTTGCAAGCAAAAAAAATTGCACTTCTCATTCTTTAGACGTACATAATAAAGTTTGCAAGTATTTTGAATTTAGGGAAAAAAAGTTTAATTTTTTTTTTGTATTCATCGATAAGAAAATTTTATTTGCACAAAAGGAGATTAAACTGAAATGTAAAGACATACTTAGTAGCTAGAGTGGGGTAAAATCTCATTTACTTTCAATGCATCAAAAGAGAAAACTGTTTTTAAATCATACCAATGGTCTTTCGCAAAGGAAATATGACGTTTTGAAGCTTACAACTTACCAATGATATTTGTCTGATCCAGAGAAAATGAAACGATTGACATCACCCATTGCATGCTACACCACACAAATTTGTGACATTGTTTCACCTTTGCTCGTACTCCCTAAGCATTCTTGGACCCAGCAAATAACCTCAATACCTATTCACCTTAAATTGCTCGTATTCTCTAGGCATTTTTGGACCCGGCCAACTCCCTCAGCAATAATGTAAATTTTCTCTATGCACTTTATGAGGTCTAAAGTTACACCATGTCGTATAAAAAAAGATTTTATATCAATAGGTTCGTGTAAATAAAGAACAAATATATGCATAACGATTTCAATGTAATTTTTTTTTTTTTTTTTTTTTTTTTGCAAATTCTGTAAGCCATTTCTGCACATGCTAAAACGACATAAAATATCTTTTAAGATGAAATATGGAGATAACGAACAGCATTCAAGCTCAAAGTCCATTGAAACAATTCAAATCTGGAGCAGAGCAAACACAGACCTCCAAAAATTTCAGATGTGGGATCAGGTGCCATGGAGGAGTGAGCATCCCCTGCTGACCGGTCACACCCGCCGTATGCTCCTGTCATGATCGGGAAATAACGGACAAATCCGTAGACAATTCAGTGTGTAAATAATGGCCTAAAAATTAGTATGAAAAACTTCAGTCAGCATATGACTTAATGTTAGATAGTATTTAATGACAAGGTCATTATATATCGACCACAGAACTTACAAAATTACGACTTTAAACGAGACTGTTGATATTCTTGATTCATCAACTTCTTTGTCAATAATCTACCTCGTTTTAGAAATTGTTCATACATAATGTTCTTGCGTATCGAATCAACTGAGAGATATACACCCGATATGCAGATGAAAAGGGTATATTGCTGCATAAGTAAGCGATATTGACGATTGAAAAGTTGAAGTCATCACGTTTATCATAAAGCTTTGTTGTTAGATAACCATTAACGCCTTTTTCTAGTAAAATATCCAAATATGAAACAGATGTGTCAGACTCTGTGGTATCTTTTATTTCAAGCTCACCGGGATATATCGTGTCGACATCGCAGTACAGTTAAGGTGCCAAATGGAAATGTCGGCGAATTTTTTAGATAGAAAATACATTCTTTACAAGGATGGGCGATTCTTTTTAGGACTTTACTATTATCGGACAAATGCAATGTGGTTGAAAACTACATGTTGAGGATGATTAGATTTCTTATTTAGACTTCTCACGTGATGTGGCAGTCACGTGATTTTAGCAAATATACCTCAAGTTTTGAGGTCATCTTTAAATTCCAATATTGCAAGGGCATAACCAAGTTAAAAATCTAAGTTTAATATATAATTATTTTCAACACTCTTTGTAGTTTGTTAAAAGTGCTGCGAACCTATTTAGATTCTAATATCTAATTGTTAAAATTACGTTTGGTAGACCGTATGTTGAATATTTTGCTGGCCAAGTACATTAAATATAGATATAATTAATTCATTTGCAAGATTTCAACAGGTTCGCAGCACTTTTCAAATATCTTCATACTTCTTGAGTTTATGTGTAAAAGCTTGTCATAATTCATTGAGGGTATGCCCTTGCAATATATCGTTTTATTTCGACCCTTCTATTATCCTTCA